ATTTTTTTTTAAAAAAATGTGACTTCGATATGACGAGTAACATCTTGTGAATTCATTTGTAACATATATGAATTGATTGGCAGAGCAACATACCAATATGGTAAAATCCCAGACTGAAATATCTGATTAACCAAATATTCACTGAATATTATTCATTGTGTGGAACCTCTAATTATATATATAGTAAATTTATCTAATTTATCTAATTTATTATAGTATTATGCTTGTTTACTGTTACCAGGACCCTGGATAATGTTTCCATTTATGAATTATTCGTAATAGCAATAGTAACATTGCTATATAATACTAATTAACGAATACAATAAAATGATTGAGTCATGTGATGTTATAATCCCGTGACACAAAAGAGTATTATTACTATTTTGGGATTTGAAGATTTGGCAGTGCGGCACAGCATTTGATGTCTTTAGATGACCCGCACCATATATCAAAATCAAAAAACTAGTATAACAGAATTCCAAAATCGTATAACTATCGGGCATGACAAATCATGCAATGTAATGATTAATGAACCATTATATATTGCAAAATTACATTGTAAAATTTCAATTGTAAGCAATAATAACTTAATTAATCATACATATCTATTATATGCAATATTAAAATCATTATCATTTCTATAATAATAATATTATCATTATAATCAATCCCATTAGAGAAAAACAAATATTAAAGATCTAGGTTATGAATCATTTATAAAAAATGGTTCAAACAAAAGAACTTTTATCAACAAAAAACTTTTGGAGCCAAGTGAAGAATATGTTTTACATCACAATGATAAAATTTTAGTCAAGACTCGAGGGGGCTTTATTGGTAAGTTGTATAAATCAACTAATTTACATATATGTTTATGTTTGTATATTTGATTAATATTTTATTTATTCAATTATATGTATTTATATAGAAATGCAATTTTTTGAAGATGCCAAAATTGATCTTGAAAATCAACTTAGAGAAGTAAAGGATTGTAATAACAAAAGTCAATAATGCTGGTAATGATGATAATAATAATAATATTATTAAAGCAAGACAATTCAACAACAACAACAACAACAAAAAAAAGGATACTTTTGAAACAGCCACCACCAGTTATGATAAAAGTTATTATAACCATTGCATTGATGTACGCCACAGTAAAATTCTGATTGCTAAAATGGGAGCCAAAGCAATCTCGTCTGTTGTATTTGAAGGTGAAAAGGTTATTTTATCAGAAGCCCAAAAGCAGATAACCATTGGG